CGGGCAGTCGCGATAGCTCCACTCTCTGAGGCAGACGCACGTGATGAAGCAAGTCGCCAGGTCAGACATGCTGAATCTTTACCGGTAAGACCGGTGCTACACAGTTTATTAGAGATGGGTTGATCGGGATATCAGAATTAGCCAGTAAGGTGCTCACTTCGGCAGCACATATACTAAAAATTGGAACGATACAGAGAAGATTAGCATGGCCCCTGCGCAAGGATGACACGCAAATTCGTGAAGCATTCCATATTTTTAGAAAAAAAAATTAGCCAGTAAGGACTAAAGCTAATGGGCCAAGCAGTGTTTAAATGAATACAGTTTGTGTATTGTTATTTCGGGGCATAAGCTAGTCAGGCGGCTGGGGTGCCGGGGACGCAGCCCTGCCGCTCATACTACTACAAGAATATACACAATATGTGATTAATAAATGTTTGTTGTTACACAGAGAAACCCAATCTCAAAAAATCAAAAAAATAAACAGTAAATGTTTGTTGAATGAAGGACCTCAATTGAGCTGGCAAAGAATGGGTAGGAGCCAGGTGCTGGAATGTGTGCTGTTGTCCTAGCTGCTTGAAAGGCTGAGACAGGAAGATCCAGGTCAGCCTGGATTACATGAGATCCTGTCTCAAACAACCAAACAAGAGCCAGGCCTTTAATTCCAGCACTCATTGGGCAGAGGCAGGTGGATCTCTTTTGAATTTGAGGTCAGCCTGTTTTACCCAGGGAGTTAGAGGCCTGTGGGGCCTACACAGTGAAACCTTGTCTCAGAAAAAAAAAGTGGGGGTGGCATGTAAAATAATAACCCAGAGGAAGGAAATCCTCAGCTGGTGATCCTGCTCAGTGGTAGAGCATAGCTGAGCTTGTGGAGGCACTAGGCTTGTCCCAGTGGAGCTGTACGTGTGTGCGCACCCACATGCACGGTCATGTCAACACCATGGCTCGCATGTGGAGTCCAGAGGACACCTTTGTGGACTCAGGTTTCTGTGTCCAGCTTGTGGGTCTTGGGGACCAAACTCAGGTCCTTAGGTTTAAAGGATGAGTGCTTTTGCCTGCTGAACCATCTCCCTGGCTCTGGAAGATGACATTTTTGTGATAGGATGAAAAAATATGTAAAATGTTTCCGAGATTTTAAGTTGAAGTAGTAAGTAGAAGGCTAATGCTCTTTCTCCTTATGCTTGGGATTGTTTTTAAAGACTTTAAAGTTTCTTTTCAATATTTATTTTATGTGTATTAATGTTTCGCCTGCACCTATGTCTATGGACCACATGCATACTTGATACCAGCAGAGGCCAGAGGAGGGTGTTGACCCCCCTGGAGCTGGAATTACAGACAGTTGTGAACCATCATGTAGATGCTGGGGATCAAACCTGGCTTCACTACAAGAGTAGCCAGGGCTCTTAGCTGCAGAGCCATCTCTCCAGCCTCTTATGCCTCAAATTTAAACCGGTACTTGCATGTTTAAGCAGTACTCCCACTGAGCTCATCTTGAGCCCTGCAAGCTAGGACCTTAGAATGCATAGGACAAGGTAGATGTGGTGGCACATACCTTTAGTTTCAGCATTCAGCAAGCTAAGATAGGTGGAGTTCTGTGAGTTTGAGGCCAGCCTGGTCTATCTAGTGAGTTCCAGGACAGCCAGAGCTACATAATAGAGACCCTGTCTCAAAAAAATAAAAACAAAAAAGCATAGCAAAACAATGAATGGGAACTACTATTATTTGAATATTGTTATGAGAATGTTATTTTAGAAATGAGTTTGAGAAAATAGACATGTAGGAATAGAAAAGCAAGGAGATTATTGGTATGCAACATTGGAGTTTGTGAGAAAAGTCACCACTCAAAATAGGTATGAGTATTACCTGCATCATTTGTGCTATTTTAAAATCTCCAACTTTATTCATTTATCTAGACTTATTTAGTGTTTTGCTCCCACGTACATCTGTGCACTATGTGTATACCTGGGGCCCTTGGAGGTCAGAAGATTATCACAATCCCCTGGAAATGGAGCCACCACCATAGCCACATACACATATAGACCCAAAGTCAATCAATAAAGTTAAAAGAAAAACTTAGGTCTCACAAAGCAGATTCTGGCCTTAAACTCCTGATCTTCCTCCCCTTTGTTCTCAGTGCTGGAGTTAAAAGTGTGTTCCACCGTGTCTAGTAGTATTAATATTTTCATATAAGATTCCTTTTTTTGTAAAATGGAACAAGTTTACAGACGTGAGTTCAATGAAAATTAAAATTGTGTTTACTCCAATTTATTCTTCAGAGAAAGTCACATTTAGCAGTTTGGTAGACTCAGGCATCTATCATTTTCCTTTTTCCTTTTGAGGTACAAGTAGAGAAGTGTGAAACAGCATTTGGCTGTGTGCAGCCCTTGATGAACTTGTAGTGATCCTCCAGGCTCTTTTTAATTACAAGCATGTGTCACCGTGGTCTCTGATTCATCTATTTTCTAGGCATTTCAAATATACACTAGAACATTAGAGTAGTGTTTTTCAACATGGGGTTCGCATAGCAGGTATCTTGCATATCCGTTATTTATATTATAATTTATAATAGTAATGAAATTATAGTTATGAAATAGCAACAAAAATAATTGTATGGTTGGTGTTGCGGGAGGTCCTTCCGCCCCTCCAACCAATAGCTGCTGTGATACCAGCCCATTGGGGCGTGGCCTCTCTCCCTTTAAAAAAGTGGCTATTTCCTCTGCTCGCTCTCTTCACTTCCTGCTCCGCCGGAGACTAGACTCCCTTCCTGGTTGTGCAGATGGCTGTTGTCTGAGATGGTGATCTGTAAGTTTTCCCCTTTAAATAAATAACACCCTATTAATCATAACTCCAAACTGGTGTGACCTTGTTCGTGACTTACGCCTTCAGGTTGGGGTCACCACAACATGAAGAACTGTATTAAAGGATTGCAATGCTAGGAAGGTGGAGAGCCACTGCTTTAGAGGCATAGAAAATGAACAAATACTCACAATTCCTAATATGCAAAATTTGTTTTTTTCTTTCTGGATAATTTTGAATAAAAACTGTTTTGGTGCTGGGTGTTCAACCCAGACTTTTGTACATGCTAAGCATTCGCTGTCACTGAGCTGCATCCCCAGCCTGCAGTCATTTTGTAGTAGTGTTCTGTAACTTGTGTAGCCACTAACTATATGATCTTTGTATAATCCACTATGTGGAACTAGGGATCAAAGCCAGGCCCTTATGTGTGGTAGGCAAGCACTCTGTCACTGACTACCCCCAGCCTCCACATATAATCCTTGAAGGTATTTATTTCCTTGTCAATATGTAGAGATCTTGGATACTCAGTCTGTGTTGCATAGTACTTTATTATGTGGATATATTTTTTTTAATATTTTATGGTTTATTTAACTTATTTTATGTGCATTGGTGTGAAGGTGTCAGATCCCCTGCAACTGGATCTTCAGACAGGTGTGAACTGCCATGTGGGTGCTGGGAATTGAACCCCGGTCCTCTGGAAGAGCAGTCAGTGCTCTTAACCACTGAGCCATCTCTCCAGCCCCTATGTGGATATTTTATACACTGGTTGTTCCCCTATTGAGAGACACTTAGGTTGTTTTTTTTTTCTTGTTTCATTTGTTTGAGACAGGGTTTCTCAGTGTAACTGTCCTGGCTATCCTGGAACTTGCTATGTAGGGGTTTTTTTTTTTTTTTTAGTTGCAAATTTGTTTTGAGGCAAGCATAATGATACATACCTTTAGTCCCAGCACTTGGGAGGCAAAGGCCAATAGATGTCTGAGTTCTGAATCAGCCTAGCTAGTTCCAAAACAGCCAGGGCTACACAGACCTCTGTCTTGAAAAACAAAAAAACAAAGATTTGTTTTCATACAATATATTCAGATCACAGTTTCCCTCCCTCATCTCCTCCAGACTCTCCACCTTTACACCTTTCTCTCTTTTGAAAATAAATCAGCCAATAAAAAACAACCCAGGGGCCTGGAGAAATGACTCAGAGCACTAGCTGCCCTTCCAGAGGACCCAGGTTCAATTCCCAGCACCCACCTGCAGCTCATTCCTGTCTGTAACTCAGTTCCAGGGGATCTGATACCATCACACCAGTGCACACTAAATAAATTATTTAAAAAAAAAACAATAAAATAAAGCAAATGGACAAAGAGGAAAAAAACAAGCACGAGAAACATATACATGCACACACACTTTTTTTTTAGTTATATGTTACTCCAATTCCCTGATTCTCTTTCCAGAATGCAACTTCTATTGCTAATGGTTTTTGTGTTTTTTTTGAAAAGGGGTCTCACTATTTAGCCTCTGATGGCTTGAAACTCACTACATAACCCGAGATGGCATCAAACTGAAGAGTGCTGGTGTTGCAGCTTGTGCCCCCGTGCCTGCTGGCACCTGTGTTTATCTATCTAGTCTGGTTTATTACTAAAAACAGAAGCTTACTTTCTTTTTTACTTGGAATGTATCAATATCTTTCTGTTTTTTTTCCAGAACCAGCCACACACTATTATTCTATTCTTTCACTAATACATCTCTAAGACTGTATTATACCAATATATTTACACAGTGCCTTAGTTTTCTACTTTAACCAGCCCTGTTTCAGTTATTTGCAGTTTCCTAACATGCAAAACCCCTTGAACACACGTATTTGTGCACATGTGCAGTATGATGCAGGATAAATCCCCGAGGTATTGCTAGATATCACATAGTATCCTTGGCCAGTTCATCCCACATCTTTCTCATCTTTAGTACTCATAACATTGGAAGTGGAGAGGCAGAATTGATCTCACCAGCTTCTAGAGTGGTGTACCGTGGGTGAAACCCAATTATGCCTGGAAGCCTCATAGATTGGTTCAGGCAACTCAGGCTTACCCCCATGACACCATTTTCCTGTCCAAGAGGATTGATCGGGAATGCACCAGAAAACCAATAAAATGATTGTGGAGATTTGCTGAAGGATTTGTGGGTAGAATATTTTTATGGTTTTTTTTTTCTTCTTTTAGACAGCGTGGTATGTCTGCCTCCAGGTACTTCATTCCTTGTGCCACCAAGACATGAATGAAATTTAAAATGAAGTCCATATACTTCGGAAGGCTGAGGGAAGGAAATTAGGTCTTTGATATTGTTATCTATGAAATCAAACCAGCATAATACCTGCTCTTCTGAAGCTCTCAAGTGAATGAACCGAGAAATTCTCTTTAGTGTTGAAACCTATTGGAATTGGTTTTTTTGTGACTTGCTAATTTTAAAAGGATGTGTGCTTTTGGTTGTTTTGTTTTTTGAGACAGGGTTTCTCTGTGTATCCCTGACTGTCCTGGAGCACTCTTACGTAGACAAGGCTGGCCTCCCGAGCGCTGAGACTAAAGGCATGTGGCACCATGCCCAGTAAGAATGTGTACTGCTAAAATTTTTTGACAAGTTGCCTTTCCAAAACTTATACCAAAAGTTGAACAACAGAACAGGAGGGTGTTTCTCTATATTCTTACCAAAATAATGTACTAGTATACTTTCTGATATTGCCATTCAAAAGTACTTTTCTTCTATGAGAATTTTATACAATGTGTTTTGATCATATTCACCCCTCACCCAATTCCTCAACATCCACCCCCACCTCTCTACCCAACCATGTAGTCCAGTTTGTGTTGCCCAAATTGTCTTGTTGGGGAGAGGGCGTTCCCTGGAGTATGGTGGTCCTACCAGGGATAACACCCTTAAAAGGACACTGACTCTCCCTTTCCAGCAGCTCTTGAATGCCAATAACACCTTAGTTAGGGGTGGGACTTGATGCCCAGGACTGTAAACCCCAATCAGTTGCTGGGACTTTGGTCTGAGCTTTCAAAGGTCTTGTGCATACAGTCCTCATCACTGTGAGTTCTATATGCAGTGAAATGCTTCCTTGAAAAATATCCCCCACTTCTGGCTCTTAAGGTCTTTCTGTGCCCTCTTCCTCAGTGATCCCTGATATTACCATTTTTATAATAAAAGTTTTTGCCTTGTTTTGTGTTTAGTTTACAATCTTTTGTATTTAATTTATAATCTCATAAAATCAGCTTTGTGTTTTTCACTGCCGCATCCTTCATGGCTCCAGGGATTGGCCTAACAGGGGCTGCAAGAAAATGAAGAAAGGAGGAATAGGGATACATGAAGAAGCTGGGATCTGGTGGCCTACTAAGCTCTCAGGTGGAGAAACTGCAACATCCTGGAAGTTTCTTGCATTTATTATATACAGTTGAACATGGAGATAGGCTATTACATACAGCCGCATAAGGAGGCAGGGTTAGCTAATCTTGGGTTAGGAGCACGTTCCGTAAGGGAGCAGTCTTCAGTCATAAGTATCTAGGGGGAGAAAGCTCCAGTGGACGTGTTCTGCACACAGTATCAACATTTGTACTTAAGCAAGAGGAAGGCTTTGCTATCCCACTGACCCTCACCCAGGAGAAAGGTTTGGCCATCTATCTGAGACTAGAGTCCTTGACATGGCCAGCTCATGTCGACAACACACTCCACTCCGGACTTCACAGACTCAGGGTTTCCTCTTCTCTCCACATGTCACCTACTTAAAATCCTGTATGCTAGGCATGGTGACACACTTTTAATCCCAGCACTTGCAAGGCAGAAATAGATGCATCTTTACGAGTTTGAGGCCTGCTTGGTCTATATAGTGAGTTCTAGGTCAGGCACATCTATATAGTGAGACTGGCTTTTTAAAACTAAAAGCTGGCTGGGCATGGTGATACACTTTAATCCCAGCACTCGGGAGGCAGAGGCAGGCTGATCTCTCTGAGTTTGAGGCCAGCCTGGTCTACAAGAGCTAGAGCCAGGACAGTGAGAGTTACATGATAGAGAGATCCTGTCTCAAAGTTATGTCTATTTCACTCCTGTATGAGTATATATGCCATTCGTGGCCGCTGTCCAGTTTTATGGTTTTTTCCTTTATGTTGAGCATTTTGTTTACTAAAAACCATTATTGGGAAAATTATAAGAATGATCTTTATCATATGAGTTGAAATATTTCCTGAATTGCTCTCCCCTTCTCTTCCCCACCTCTGATCCACCAAGCTCATTCTATATTTCTCTTTTATAAAAAAGAGTTTTTTTTTCAGGCAGTGTACTGTTAGTAATTTGAAGTGTATAAATATTAAATACTGCTTACTACTGAGTTTGCCTATGTAAGTGTCCATGAGTTTGCTTGTGAGAGGGAATCCTACCCCACTTGTCCTTTTGTATCTGACTTCATTCACTTAGCATGTTTCAAGCTTGATTCATGTTCCCTAATTCTACCTTCAGAACTATTTCCAAATAACAAAGTTTCCTTAAATTTTTTACATGTATTTTGTGTGCACATGTGTTTGCTACAATGTGCATATGGAGGTCACAGGACAATTTGCAGAAATTGGTTCTCACTTCCCACCAAATGGGTCCATTATCTGATTTGTCAGCAAGTACATTGACCATCTGAACCATCTCACTGGTCCCAAGGTTTCTTTTTAAAACCTAAGTAGTGTTTCATTCTGTGCACAGAAATTATCTTTTCCCTTATCTATCCATCTGTTTATGTATGCTTTGACTGATCTCTACAATTTGGCTATTGTGAATAGTGCTGCAATTGCTGTATTTTCTCAATTATAATTAAATTCAATGAAGCGGGGAGCAGAATGGTGATAAGTAGATGCTGAGAGGGGTAGAGGGAATGGGGAGATGATAGGCAAAGGTCTGCTGCCTCAATTAGAATGGATAAGTTGAATTTCTTTGAGATGTATTGTCTGTTGGATATAATAAACAATGCTGTGCTGTACACTTCAAAGCACAGTGATGGGGTGCTTCTGTAGCACGGATATTTCACATGGAAAGCACTGAGCTGCAACCCCAGCACCAGGACCACAGTTTTCATTATGGAAGTGATGTGGAATTCTCTCCGTGTGTTTTATTACCATTGGTTAATAAAGAAGCCACTTTGGCCTTTGGCAGGCCGGAAAGTCAAACTGAATACAGGGACAAAGAAGGCTGAGTCGAGGGAGATGCCAACAGCTGCTGGAGAAGCAAGATGTGAGGTGACAAGCCATGAGCCTGTGGTAAATAGAAACTAATAGAAATGGGTTAAGTTGTGAGAGCAAGTTAATAATAAACTTGAACTAATAGGACAAACAGTTTGTAATTAATATTAAGCCTCAGAGTGGTTATTCGGAAACTGACGGGCAGGAGAAAAACCTCCATTTACACGGAAGCTTTGCAGAGACTTTTGAAATCCAGAAGTTTGAGTTCTCTGACAATTTTTTAAAGATCTATTTATTATGTATACATTGTGGCCAGAAGAGGGCGCCAGATCTCATTACAGATGGCTGTGAGCCACCATGTGGTTGCTGGGAATTGAACTCAGGACTTCTGGAAGAGCAGTCAGTGCTCTTAACCACTGAGCCATCTCTTCAGCCCATTTTTGTTTTGTTTTAATATTATATTGGCTACTTGAGGTTCCTTCAGATCCTATATGACTGTTAGGGTGAGTTTTATAACATGTTTTTGAGACAGGGTCTGACTGTGTATGTAGCCCTGACTGTCCTGGAACTTGCTATGTAGACCAGGCTGGTCTTGAACTCACAGAGATCCATTTGCCTCTGCCTCCTGAGTGCTGGGATCAAAGGCGTGCACCACCACCACCTGACTATTTGTCTTATTTTTAATATTTATTTTATGTGTATGTATGTGTGCCTGTATTTATGTATGTGTGTCTGCATTTACTTGTGTGCCCATGTGCCTGGAGTTTCCATGGAAGTAAGAAGAGAGCATTAGATCCCCCCTGGGGGGGGGAGAGGGTTGTAGTTTTCATTGCCAGTACATAGAAATGCAGTGCCACTTTTTGTTATTGCTTTGTTTTTTTGAGACGGGATTTTTCTGTGTAATAGCCCTTGCTGTCCTGAAACTCATACTATAGACCAGGCTGGCCTCAAACTCAGAGATCTGTCTACCTCTGCCTCCCAAATCCTGGGATTAAAGGTGTGCACACTACCACATTGACACCTTTTTAAAAGAAACGGGATCTGGGATCTTCGGATATGGTTCATTGGGTCAAGTGTACTAGTGTATAAGCTGGTCACAGCACCATGTATCTGTAGCCCCATTACTGGGGCGGAGGTGGAGATTAATGAGCCCTGGAGCTCACAGGTCAGCCAGTCTAGCTGAATCAGTTTCAGGTGTAGTGAGAAATACTATCTCAAAAAATAAAGGTGCAAAGCAATAGATTAAAAATACCTGATATTAATATTTGACTCCACATGTATGTGTACCTTCCTATGCAGATTAACATGTATAAACACATACCACCCAAACATACCTATGAAAGACAAAAGAAACTGGGTCTGAGCTAGGTGGGCATAGAGTTGTATACTTATAATCCTAGCACTTGGGAGACTGAATCAGAAATATTGCCTTGTGTGCAAGGCCAGCCACAGCTATATAGTAAAGTTGTATCTCAAAAACAAAACAAAGCAATGCCAAAATAGAGAGCCAGTAAGATGGTTCAGTGGACAAAGGCATTTTCTGCCCGCCTGACTACCTGAGTTTGATGCCCAGAACCCAAATGTTGCCCTCTGATTTCAACATGTGCACTGTGCCCATGCATGCAAACACACACTCACGTGTACTAGCTGAATGTGAGAAATTTTGTTGTAAAACATATTTAAATTTTTGTTTTGAAAACAAAAGAGGACTGAAGAGATAGCTCAGCAGTTCAGAGTACTGCCTGCTCTTCTAGAGGTTCCGAGTTCAATTCCCAGCAACTACATGGTGGCTCAGACATGGTTGCACACCAGAAGACACCAGATCTCATTGTGGATACATGCAAGCCGAGCACTGTATACTAAATTAATTAATTAAAACAAAAAACAAGAAAAAGATGGGTGGTTTTTTGTTTTAAAAAAACAACAAAGCCGGGCAGTGGTGGTGCAAGCCTTTAATCCCAGCACTCAGGAGGCAGAGGCAGGTGGATCTCTGTGAGTTCAAGGCCAGCCTGGTCTATAGAGCAAGTTCCATTACTAGCTCCATAGCTACTGAGAAACCCTGTCTCGAAAAACAAAACAAAAAACCAGAGAAACACTGTCTCGAAACCCCCAAAAAGGAGGGGAGGGGGAAAGAAAGAAGAAAAGAAATTGGGTCTTGCTCTATTGCCCAGACTATCTTAAACCCTTGGACCAAGAATTTCTCTTAGCCTTCTCTGAGTGCACCTCTGGCTTGCATTTTGTTTTTTTTCCAAGACAAGGTTTCTCTGTGTAGCCCCGGCTGTCCTAGAACTCACTATGTAGACCAGGCTGGCCTCCAACTCAGAGATCCTCCTGCCTCTGCCTGCAAGTGCTGTGATTAAAAGTGTTCACCACCGCTGGGCATACATTTTTTTTTCAGTACTGAAAATTTAAGCCAGGCTTTGTGCATGCTACTTAACCACTCTATAACACTGAGCTATATTTTCAGTCCCTTTTTATTTCAAGACAGGTCCAATCCTCCTGCCTCAGTCTCCTGACTGGATATGGCAGGTATGTGCTACTGAATCTGACTTGTAGTTCTAGGGATTTAACCTAGGTTTTAAATTCCATAAATTTATTTTTATGTGTTCAAGTGTTTTGCCTGCATGTATATCTGTGTACTGTGTATGTGTATGCCTGTAGAAGCCAGAAGAAAGTATCGGATCCCCTGAGACTGGAATTACAGGTGGTTGTGAGCAAACACATGGGTGCTAGAAATCAAACCCAGGTCCTCTGGAAGGGCAGCCCACACTCTTTACTGCTGGGCCATCTCTCCAGCCCATCATGTTTTAATTACATGTGTGAGCGGGCGTGTACCTATGTTTGTGAAGATGCCATTGGCTGTCCTGCTCTACTTTCACTTACTCCCTTGAAACAAGATCTGTCACTGAACCTGGAGCTAGACTGACTGTCAGCAAGCCTCAAAGATTCTCCTGGCTTCACTCCCCAATGCTGGGATTGCAGATGTGAGCATACCCAGCTTTATGAAAACTGGAAATTTTCTGGGCATGGTGGTACATGGCTTTAATCTCAGTCCTTGGGAGGCAGAGGCAGAGTGCTGAGGAACCAAACCTGGTTCCTCTGCAAGAACAGTAAATGCTTTTACCTACTGAGGCATCACTATAGCACCCCTCCTTTCCTCTCTATCAAGATATATTTTTTTCAAAACAGGGTTCCTCTGTGTAACAGCCCTGACTGTCCTGGGATACTTTCTGTAGATCAGGCTGGCCTCAAACCCATAGATCTGCCTGTCTTGGCCTCCCGAGTGCTGGGATTAAAGCTGTGCACTATCAGTGCCAGGCCTCTTAAAATCTTTTAAAGATTTATTAATCCCAGCACTTGGGAGGCAGAGGCAGGCAGATCTCTGTGAGTTTGAGCCAGCCTGGTCTAAGTTCCAGTACAGCCAGGGCTACACTGTAAAACTCTGTCTTAAATCAAGATTTATTTACTTTTAATTTTATTATTTTGGTTCTTTGATATAGGGTTTCTAAATATAACTGTGACTGTCCTAGAACTCACTCTGTAGACTGGTGGCAGAGAGATTGGATGCTTAAAAGGAATTCCACACTAGCTCAGAACTGAGAGATATTTATTTAGGGGGAAAACTTACAAATCAGGATTCTCTGCTTGAACGGTGGATGGAGATGGGATCCAAAACAAACCGAATGAGCAAACAGGGACGGGGGGGGGGGGGGGGGGGGGGGGGGGGGGGGGGGGGGGGGGGGGGGGGGGGGGGGGGGAGGGAGGAGGAAGGAGAGAAGGGCCGGACGCTCTTCAGCATCTGGGTAAATAGTATATGAGGTCACACCCCAGTACGCAGGTAATTACCTGCTGTAACCTTCCTGCAGACTGGCCTTAAATTTAGGTCTGCCTGCCTCTGCCTCCCAAGTGCTGAGATTAAAGGTGTGCACCACTATCACCTGGCTTATTTCCTATGTAGTGTTTTGCCTATCAGAAGAGCAAGTATCATTCCTCTGGAACTGAAATCCTGAATGGTTTAAGCAATTTATTGGTTTACAGGCACATACAATCATGTCTGAGTCATCTTAAACTGCTTAACTTAGTTGTTCTGTTCTTGAGTAGTTTAACCCTGGCTTATAGATGTATGGTCTGTCATATTGCCTTAACTTGCTTTGATTTTGCCAGCCCTCTGTTCCACCCTTCCAAGTAGTTGGTGTAGGGGAATGTGGTACAATAGTTGTATTGGGGTATGAAGACTTATCATGAAGTGAAAATATTGTAGAGCAAACGTACAGTAATTCTGGACTGGTGGAGCTGCAATAACACAATCTCTGAATGCCAGAGCTACAACGGAACAGCTCAGCCCTGGACAAGAGAGACAATAATCAAACAAAATTCTGTTTAAAAAAAGACATGTGGAAATACAAAAGGATGGCTACATAACCACCTAGTGAAAGTGCTCAAGCAAAGCAGTAAAGAGGCTTATATAGTAATTCATAGGGGGGGGGGGCAGAGTTTTCCCAAGAAAAAAGGGGATTGGTTCATTTTTTCTAATCATGCATTGCTCAGTTTATCTGGGCAGAGCCAGAGGTGGCTCTGCCTTCATGGCCAAACTGTGTTTCTTATCCTGGTTCTTTTTGGCGTTTTAACTCTAATCTGAGGACCACGGCACATTTCTCTCACTGACTCTGATTTTAGGGACAATCTGTGTTTCTGTGACAGTAGTTTCAGAGCCAGGGCACCCGTCCTTGGTTCCGAATTCAGGGATAAAGATGTTTCTTTCCCTGCTCAGGTCTCAAAAACAGGGTGTGTTTCTTTCAGTAGCCCTGGGTTCAGAGTCAGGGTGCTCAGTGATTGGTCGGTTTCCGGCCATGTGATTGGTTGCTTCAGCTGGGCAGGGCCAGAGGTGGCTCTGCCTTCATGGCCAAACTGTGTTTCTTTTCCTGGTTCTTTTTAGCTTTTTAACTCTAATCTTAGGACCAAGGCACATTTCTCTCACTGACTCTGATTCTACGGACAATGTGTGTTGCTATGACACTTGTGTCAGAGCCAGGGCACCTGTCCTTAGTTCTGAATTCAGGGATAAAGATGTTTCCCGACTCAGGTCTGAAAAACAGGGTGTGTTTCTTTCACTGATTCAGAGTCAGGGTGCTCAGTGATTGGTCGGTTTCCTGCCCTGTGATTGGTTGGTTCAGCTGGGCAGGGCCAGAGGTGGCTCTGCCTTCAGGGCCAAACTGTGTTTCTTTTCCTGGTTCTTTTTGGCGTTTTAACTCTAATCTTAGGACC